TGGGTTCGACATCCTTCTTTAAAACTATATTACAAAACTTGACACCGTACACTTGCGGTTTAAAAATCACGTTGCATAAATCATGTGGCAACCACCAAGGCCCCTCAGTGAACTATATGTACACGATCAAGACCCTTTCATCCATGGTCTAAGACTCCTCAATGTAGTATAGAATACGACCATAGCCCCCCAGTGAATTGGAATAAATATATAATCATGAGCACTTTTCTGGTCGATCTCAATATCACGTCTCATATTCCAATTCACAATGTACCATATACAATCTTTGAAATTTCACATGTATGATAGTAATAGAAACTTTCATGATAATCATATAATTAAACAATAATTCACATAATTGCACATAATTTAATAATATACATAATATATACACACTTTGAAAATATTTAAATTTTTCCACTCACAAATGTGTGTATGGATAGCAATTTGATTAAATTGATGGGCATTTCCAAACTTTCACTTCACTACACTACATGAAATAACGGTATATTAATTCAAATTACAATCTAACAATTAAACTAATATAAATCTACCACGTAATTCCCCTAACTTCTATATTTATTCTCGCCTCTCTATTTTTTTAACTTTTCATCTCTTCAATTATTTACTAACAAATCACAAAACATGATTAAATCCATTAAATTACTATAATTTCTTAAAGTAACTACCTTATACATATACTATACAAACCTTTTACATTGCCTAATCCAACACCCAAACTTCAATATTTATCATTTAGTTTCATTGAACTCGTAAAATCTGAGAAAATAAAGTTTTGACAAAAAAGGCACTAAAATTCCAGCATATTGTAATTTGGCACCTATTTCTGTACATTGAAAACTAGCACTAAAACCATTGATAGAAATAACACTTTTCTAGGTAGAATTTCAGAAACAACACCCGTGTACTACAATTGCTCGAAAATAGCTTAAAATTGCTCTAAAAATTGATAAATCAAACCTCAAATCCTTAAATTAAGTGTTTTAACACCACAAAATGACAAGAAAATCAAAGAATATGTCTTTATCTCATAAACCCATTTCAAAATTTTACTTTTCAATTGTTTACTATATTATTATTTAAAACCTCAAATAGGTGTCAATAACACTTCTTGCTAAACTTTGAATTTAAACAAAATTTTCATAAACCCTAAAAGATAATTCCATATTCTTATACTCACCTCTCTCAATCAAAGGAAAAATATAAGAAATTGAGAACCTAGGTTTGAGAAATTGGAACCTACCCCTTCCTCCTTTTTCTTTTTCTCTTCTTTCATCCTTTCTTTCTTTTCTCGATGGTTTTGTTCTCTGCTCTTTCTTCTTCCCAAAATGAGAAAAATGGATAGATGCGTTATATGTATAAGGTTTAAAGGATAAATATTGAACAACTGCAAGTCAAGTCACCAATCTTTATATAACATAAACATTAAGTCTTTAAATTTTCAACAATAGAAACTAAATTCCTAGATTTCGTTATTATATCATTTTTAACCCTCATGTATTTGTAATTGCAATTTAAGTTCTGTGAAAATCATTTATTAAACTTTAAGTCCTTATTTCACTTTGGCTTTGACTAAATCATTTCTTGACTTCGACTATAAATGAATAGGGTGTAACAAGTTGGCCGTTGGGTTCGAACTGAAAATGTCAAGTCACAAAATTTGAGTTCTCTATCCAATAAAATGGGACTTGGGACGACGAATTACTTGATTCTTTCTTTGTCATTTTAATCTTTTCTTGGAAAATGAATAAGATTTTCAAACCCCAAATATTGAGCAGTAAAAATAATGGGGATAGGAGATGTTTATGTATTCCTTACAAAAAAGGAAAAGTATAAAGTATAGATGAAAGGAGAAGAACGATTTGGAACCCAAATCTCTACCTAACCTAGTAACGTCGATGTATGAATTTTTATGTGTGATTCACCGGGTTCCATTCACAATGTCATTTAGTATAAGTAATATCTCGATCTAATCAAGATAAGAATAGATTATATCAATTTTAATTTCTTCACTAATTCAATTAAATGTCATTGATTGACAAAGTGATAAGGCAACACATGTGGAGGGCTAAGTCATATGTTATGACAAGACCTTTCATGCATGGTTGGCATGAAATGCAATCCTTTTATCACCTATATTCCAATTGGTTACGAATGTGTCAATCTCGCTTAATCAATTATATTACTTTTCACTTCTAGTAATTTACTTACTGAGTCCATATTTGATACCCGCTTTTCAGATTACACTCTACCTTGGCCTAGAAATTAGTGCATCAATAATCAAGACTATAAAGATGGTCCAAAGCTTTTTAAATCTCTTTGTTAGGAAAATGTGTAATTGGCAATCTGTGACCAAAGGACCTATTTGTCAAAATTGTAAAGTCAAGGACTAAATTGTACAGGTCAAATAGTTCAAGGACTAAAGTTGCAATTTAGTAAAGGTCATAGCATAGGTCTAGAGTAAAGTGGGATGCTTTGAAGATGCAAACGGCAAGTTGATGTCGCTGGAGTTTTGCCCAAATTGGTCGCTTGACCTCGCTGGAGTTTCGCTGAGAGCCAAAATTGCAGAACTGACCTCGCTGGAGTTTCGCCAGGACCTCGCTCGAGCGACTGTGTTATCTGGCCTTTGGTAATTTTAATGCCTCAACGAATTTTTAACGCTCTATATTACCAAATTCGACCTACTATATAAATAAAACGTCCGATTTTCTTACGTGACCTTTGGCAAACATTAAAACAACAATTCCTCTCAACTTCCAAAGGATCAAGAGCCAAAATAAATTCATGCTTTTCATCTTTGATTCTCATGGTTCTTTGAATAAAAACATCAACCCTCACAAAACCAAAACACCCTTTCATATCTCCATATAAACTTCCAGAAGATCATTTGTTTGAAGATCCGGGAAGGAAATTGCTTGAAGAGCTGGAGTGCTTGGTGAATCACAGGAGGTAGAAGATATTCAAAGCTGGGATTTTGGCGCAGATCTGTAAAATCCAGGATAGCTGTGGTCAATACAGTAAGGAGGTCAGAATAATGTTAGAATCAATAATGTCTGACGTACTGTAAGTCAATATCTTCTATAGTGGATCTCTACTGGCTTGTGCCCGGAGTTTTTACCCAGTTGGGGTTTCTCCGTCAACATTTTGTTGTGTTTTTTACTGCTTTCTGTTATTTATTTTTCAACCGGTAATTCAACTTAGATAGATAAAGTATGTGAATGAATCTAGGCAATGCATAATTGATGTGACTTGTTGCATCAGTTAATTAATTGTTTTAATTCCGCATAAACACCTATTCACCCCCCTCTAGGTGTTGGTTGGGTCGAACTATTGCTTTTTCAAGTGGTATCAGAGCTAAATCTCGAGTCCTGACCCATAGTTGTCTAGATGAGTCAATCACTTTCCGTACTTCCGTATTTTGACGGAAGTAATTATGCCTATTGGAAGGTTAGAATGCGTGTGTTTTTTAAGTCTTTAGATGAGCATGTTTCGGTAAGTGTGCAAAATGGTTGGAAACCTCCCTCTACTATCGTATCAGGAACTGTCAACCTTACCGACATATCACTATGGACTAAGGATGAAATAGCTGAGTGTAATTGGAATAGCAAGGGTCTTCATGCCCTGTTTATGGCCGTGTCTCCCGAAGAGTTTAGGAGAGTGTCAATGTGTGAAACTGCTAAAGAGGTTTGGGACATTCTTGAAACTACCCATGAGGGAACTAAAACGGTAAAGAACTCTAAATTACAAATGCTAACTTCTAGGTTTGAAGAAGTGAGAATGAAGGATGATGAAATGTTTGACGAATTCTATGCAAAATTGAATGACATTGTTAACTCTAGCTTCAATCTAGGTGAGAAAATTCTCGAGTCTAAAATTGTGAGAAAAGTGTTTAGGTCCCTGCTCGAGAGATTTAGGCCTAAAGTCACTGCCTTTGAGGAAAGTAAGGACCTAGATGAAGTTAATATTGAAGAACTGGTAGGATCGTTGCAAACTTATGAACTCACTATTACACAACCTAAGAAAGGAAAGTCCATAGCCCTAAAATCCATCAAAGAAGATGAATCTTCTGATACTGAGTCACTTAGGGACGAGGAAATTGCATACTTTGTTAAGAAATTTCAAAAAGTTCTCAAGAATAGGAGAAAGCCTCAGGATAAAAAGAGTGGAGCTCCTAGCAGATTCACAAAAGCAAAAACTGAAACGTTTAACAATAAAGGGTCGAGTGATAAATCACGTTTGGTTAGGTGCCATGAGTGTCAAGGTATAGGTCACTATAGGAATGAATGCCCTAGTTATAAGAAGAACCAAAGAAAAGGGAAAGGTAGGGCCTTAGTTGTCTCACTTACAGATAATGAATCTGAGACCAGTGATAGACATGAATCTTCTAGTAGTGAGGACGAAGGAAACTATATGGCATTTGTATCGACTGTTAAGAGTGAATCTGATAAGGAGAGTGACAAGGTTGAGGAAGAACTTCCAAATGATAATTCTAGTAATCAGGAAGAGGATGACATAGACATACAAGAAGCTTATCAACTTTTATTTAAGGAGAGTCTTAAAATCAAAAAGGTCAATAAAGCCCTACTCAAAAAGGTCGATGAACTTGAAAGAGAAAAATAGAAACTTGCTAGTAATCTTTAGAATTCACTTAAGAGTGGTAGTGAGTTAAAGTGTGTCAATGAGAAGTTAGAAGACAAGATTAAGACTTTGACTAGTGAATTGCTGAAATCTAATGCTCATCTTCAGACTTTCGTAAGTGGGACTAAGAAATTGGACAATAGTTTGGAAATGAATAAGCCTGCAGGAGATAGGAAGGGTCTAGGATATGTTGAGGGTAATACACATGTTGCTGGACCTTCTAAGACTGCTTTTGTTTCTGTCTCTAAGAAAATTAATGCTGTTAGTAGTTTAAATAAGAGTAAGAATGTTCCGAGAGAACAGAGTCATCAATCACGTAGGAACTTCATACCCAGATACCCTCAGCCACGTACCTTTGAGTCTAGGTTCATTTCCACCTGTCACCACTTTGGAGCCTTAGGACACACTAGGCCTAGATGCTATAGGTTAGGGAATGAGCATAAAAATCTGAACATTCCTAGTCAGGTTAGCTTTCTGTCTAATCAGGTTAGTCATTTGACTGAGATGCTTACTAAGCTTACTAGGAGTACTTTATCATCTAAGAAAGTTTGGGTCAAAAAGGGTGATCTAGCTAGACATTCAGGTCAAGAAAAGTGTTTTGTTGCGCATGTTGCATTGAAAGCCCAAAATTACAACATGTGGTACCTAGATAGTGCATGTTCTAGGCATATGTGTGGTAATAAGGCTTTGTTCACTACCCTTGATGAATGTAACGGTGGTATGGTTACCTTTGGAGATGGGGGTTCTACACCTATTCTTGGCAAAGGTACTGTACAAATACATAGTTTACCTGTGATCTCTAATGTGCTTTATGTGGAAGGTTTAAAGTCTAACTTGTTAAGTATTAGTCAAATTTGTGATGATGATTTTGAGGTGAGTTTTGTGCAAAAGAGATGTACTGTGTATGATTTGTCTGGTGGGGTGGTTCTTGAAGGGGTTAGAACAACTGATAATTGTTATGGAGTCTTGCCTAATTCTAACTATGTATGTAGGAGTGCTAAAATTGATGTGAGTGAACTCTGGCATAAAAGTTTAGGTCATTTGAACTATAAGAGTCTAGTACAACTAGCTAAGAAAGAATTGGTAGATGGTTTGCCTAAGATAGGTCCTAGTGAAAATGTTGTGTGTGGACCATGTCAACTAGGTAAACAACTTAAGGGGAACCATAAGAAGACTTCAAAAATTCTGACCAAACGACCCCTAGAATTGATACACATGGATTTAATGGGACCATCTAGGACTGAGAGTTTAGGTGGTAAATGATACATTCTTGTTGTGGTAGATGACTTCTCGAGATTCACATGGATAAAATTGCTTAGGGAAAAATCTGATGCACGTGATCTCATAAAGTCTTTGTGTAAACAGCTTAGCAATGAACTAAATCTCAAAGTGTCTAGAATGCGTAGTGACCATGGAAAAGAGTTTGAGAATTTTAATCTTGAAAGTTTCTGTATGGATGAAGGGATATTGCATAAGTTCTCTTCTCCTATCACTCATCAACAAAATGGGGTGGTTGAAAGGAAGAATCGAGTTCTTCAGGACATGGCTAGAGCCATACTTCATGGCAAGGGACTAGTCCTACATTTTTGGGGAGAAGTTGTTAACACTACATGCCACATAATTAATAGAGTTTACCTTAGACCCAAGACCGATCAAACTCCATATGAGATACTTAAGGGTAAAAAGCCTACTGCTAAGTACTTTCGAGTGTTTGGGAGTAAGTGCTACATTTTGCATGATAGAGAGAACTTGAGAAAGTTTGAATCGAAGAGTGATGAAGGAATCTTCTTAGGGTACTCTAGAAATAGCCGAGCATTTAGGGTGTATAACTTACGTACTCGTGTGGTGATGGAGTCAGTAAATATTGTGATAGATGATGCTGTGAGTGAGGGGGAGAGTGTTGAAAATTGTGATAAAGATGGTGATCTTATAAGTTCTAGTGATCCTACTGAGCCACCTGTGTCTGAATCATCTCTTAGGAAACCTGATACACCTGAAAAGAAAACACTTCCACAAGATTGAGATAAAGATCCTAAGGAACCATCGACTAGGGTTAAGTCTAATCATCCTAAGGACAATATCATTGGGGATCTAGATGAAGGTATGAGACTTCGTAGGAAAGTACTGAACAATCTAGCATACACTAGCTATGTCTCTCTGGTAGAACCTAATAAAGTTGAAGAGGCTCTTAGTGATGAGTGTTGGGTGAATGCGATACATGAGGAGCTCAATCAATTTGCGAGGAACAATGTGTGGATCTTAGTTCCCAGACCTGAGAGTTGTAATGTTATAGGTACTAAGTGGATCTTTAAGAACAAGACAGATAACCAAGGTACTATAACTAGGAATAAGGCTAGACTAGTTGCTCAGGGTTATACTCAAGTTGAAGGAATTGATTTTGATGAGACTTTTGCCTCTGTTGCACGACTTGAGTCTATTCGGATTCTGCTTGCTGTTGCATGTACCTTAGGGTTCAAGTTGCATCAAATGGATGTTAAGAGTGCCTTCTTGAATGGACTTCTTCAAGAAAAAGTCTATGTGGAACAACCAAGAGGATTTGTTGATCCTAAGTTTCCCCACTATGTCTACAAACTTCACAAAGCCCTCTATGGTCTGAAGCAAGCTCCTAGAGCTTGGTATGAGAGACTTACATCATACCTTGAAGAACATGGATTCTCTCGAGGTGGTGCAGATAGGACCTTATTTATTAGACATGTTGAAGAAACTATCACCATTGCTCAGATTTATGTCGATAATATTATTTTTGGTTCTCCTCTTGAGTCTTTAGCTTATGAGTTTGCTGAGTGTTTGAAGCAAGAATTTGAAATGAGTATGGTTGGGGAGTTGAGTTATTTCCTTGGACTTCAGGTGAGACAGACAGAGGATGGACTGTTCATTTCACAGTCTAAGTATGCTAAGGATCTAGTTAAGCGCTTTGGGCTGGATAGTAAGAAGCATACTAGGACACCTATGAGTACTAACTTGAAGTTAGGACGTGATGCTTCAGGTAAGAGTGTCGATCCTTTCCTATAAAGAAGCATGACAGGTAGTCTTCTTTATCTCACAGCTACTAGACCTGACATTGCTTTTAGTGTTGGAGTGTGTGCTCGATTTCAGGCAGATCCAAAAGAATCACACTTAAGCTCTGTTAGACGCATCATTAGATATGTGAGTGGAACAGTTGATCTAGGAATATTCTATTCTAGGAATTCTATTCTTGATTTGGCTGGTTACTCCGACGCCGATTTGGCCGGGAACGCAGATGATAGGAAAAGCACGACAGGGGGTTGTTTTTACATGGGTAGCAATCTCGTAGCCTAGTTGAGTAAGAAACAGAATTCTATATCTCTATCCACGGCAGAGGCCGAATACATAGCTGCAGGGAGTTGCTGCACTCAGCTTCTTCGGATGAAGCAGATGCTGAGTGATTATGGGATTAGTCAAGGGACCATGACTGTTGTCTGTGATAATACAAGTGCTATAAATATTTCTAAGAATCCTATTCAACACTCTCGAACAAAACATATTGACATACGACATCATTTTATTCGTGAGCTTGTTGAATAACATGTAGTCTCTCTCGACCATGTCTCTACTGATAATCAATTGGCAGATCTACTTACGAAACCACTAGATGGATTGAGGTTTGAGTCGCTTCGGACGGCTGTTGGTGTTTGCTTACCTATCTGATCATGGATTCATGCATATTCCTGCATTTATCACATATGCACCTAGTCATTTCATATCTTGCGTGTGATCTATGTGTGTGTGATGCATTTTTGACTGTTCGTTTGTGGTTTCGTAGTCTTTTGTGTGTGTAAACAAAAAAAAAAAATTAATTATTTTAAGAATTTTTTTCTGTGCCTTTTATGTAACGAATATAGCATGTGCATTAAAGATCAAACTCTATTTTTCATCATATGTACGAGTTTAAGGTTCCATCATTGTTCATTTTTGTCTGTGGAATTCTAGGTATATGGCTCGTCATTCATTTTCACACAGCACACACTGTAGTCCTGTAAGCGAGTCTTGACCGCATGGGTGAGACTTGGGATGGTGTTCTTCTGTGATTGGGGTGTATGTACATGTGACTTGATCTGGGACGAGTGTAACTTAATGAATATTGTCTTTTCCAAGTTTTATTTTGATCATTTGTTGAACTTATGACTATCTTCGGGGCCTACTTGACTCGAACAATTTCGCTCGACTCTCGCCTGGATTTAGCTCGAGTGACAAAAGCAGCAGGCTTTTCGCTCGAGTTTCGCCCATTCCTCGCTCGAGCGACGGTCCTTTTTTAAACCCCTCCCCCGTTTCTTTTCGTGCATTTTTTTTCCTTTCTCTCTTATTTTTTTCTTTCTTCTTCCATTTGATTCCCACCTCTTGACATTACTTGGTTTCTTACATAAGTTTGAGGGCCCTAACCTTGATTCCTAATCCGGATTTCATCTTCTTCATATTGATTTTGAGGTATTTTCATTTTTTTCTTGTTTTTCTCATTTTTGTGTTGTTTCATTGTTCTTGTGTTTTGCTTGCTTGATACGTGCATTATTATGATCCTCATGCATTTCGTGATTGGTTTTTGTTGGTACATTTCGCATTTACCTTCACCATTAAATATGGATTGCGTGTTCTTCCATTGTTTCGTTATGGCATTTTCGTGTTTTTGGTACCATGTTCGTCGTGATCGTTCTTGCATTCCGTTAATCCATTTGATGTGTGGTTTGTTTCATTTTAAAGCCCTTGGATTCTAGTTTGTGGACTATCTTGGATGCATGCTTGGGTCTCGTATGTGCTTGGAATTGTGTGCTGAAGTGACGCCCGTCATGTGTTCGATGAAAGTCCCCTGTTATGTTTTGTTTGTTTTCCTTCGTTTGTGTGCTTCAATTTTTCCTCCTCTTCATTCCGTCTTTGTTTCATTCTCGTCACATGACTTGTTGAGTGTTTTTGCACATATTTTTGGTGTATATTTACATCATGCTTGGTTTGCTCATAGGGTCGTTCACTTTTTTCGATGCATCTCTTTCGTGCCTCACTTGTGTGTGCGGTGTTTCATTTCATATTGCATCTTACCCCGTGCATTCTTCATCTTCCTCCATCTCTCCATGTGCCAGATGGCCCGTAAGCGTTCTCGACCTTCTGCGCAGCCAGCTAGGGTTCGACTTCGTATAGTCGTTCCAGATTCATTTCTGCTACAGCTCAAGAGGTCTTCACTTCTCAGTTCTCCTTACGCCCCGTTCTCATGGAGCATGAGGTAATCCTCTCTGACCTTCGTGTTGATATCGCCACCATTTTTATTTCCCGAGGTTGGGAGCCCCTTCTTGTTGGTCTTTCACCTCCTCCCCCACTCCTCGTTCAGGAATTCTATGCTAATATTCATGATATAGACGGCTCGTCTTTTCGGGTTACTCTTAGAGGTCATTCTTTTAGGGTTACTCCGTCGGCTGTAGCTCATGCTTTAGGTATACCTTAGATTACCCATCCGACTTATCCCTATATTTTACCTGCTTCTATTCCGGCCGATTCTCTTGTTCGGTCGACGCTTTTGAACACCCCGTCTATCGGGGGGCCTTCGGCGATGGCCACGGGGTCATTACCTACTGATCGTCAGGTGCTGTTGCGCATAGTGTGTACAAACCTATGGCCGGTTGCCCATACCTCTTCATTACCTATGGTGCGTGCCCGTTTTCTTTATGCCCTTCTTCATGGGGACTCGATCGACTTTCCTAATTTTGTGTGCCAGAATATTCTGGCTTCATTTCGTACTCCTAGGAGTCGGATCGGGTTGCCTTATGTTTGCTTGATTCATAGGGTTGCTTTGTCGTTGGGTGCTTCCTTTCTAGAGGGTTCGACTTATCGCATAGGCCGTCCGATAGGACAGCAGACCATTCATCAGAGTCGATCCCATGTACAGTCATCTTTCTCTTCTGCTCATGCTACAAGTTAAGCAGCGGCCGTTGATATTTTTGATCTTTCGGAACCCTTTAATCCTATTACTAAGATTCTTACTGGGGGTTCCCGTGTGTTTCTCCCGCCTCGTACGGCTTTTCCTTCGACCATTCCACTTAGTTCTGCCTTTCCTTCGACATCTACTTCTGCTCCTGGGGTGGCTGCTTTGCCCGTTGACCCCATGGTGACGCTTATGGGACAGATGTCTACTTTGGTCGAGCAGCAGGCCCGTATGATGGCAGAGATCACGTAGTTACGTGCTGCGTTGGAGCGTCAATCAGCTGAGCTTTCTTCTTTTTCGTCGTGCTCTTGCAGTGTGTCAGCGTCATTTGCGTTGGATTCGTGATAATATGGCGGAGGACACGAGTGCTGAGAGCGGAGTTGAGTCTTCAAATGCTGGAGGTGCTGCCTCGTAGTTAGTTAGTTAGTTAATTGTTTTGATCTTTGTTCTTTGTGACAAAAAAAGGGGGAATAGATATTTGGATAGATAGATCGATAGATCTTCAATTTTTTGGTAATTGTGTTATACTTCATTACTAGATTAAGTTTTTTGATGTTTTGGCAATATTAGTGTATGTTTTTGGTGTTTTTTGACTTACATTATTATTGCTTCTTAATCTGGTTAATGACATATGATCGATTTCTTGTTTACTGTTTCCATTTCATATGCTTTTACACTTGGTATTTGAGTTTTTGATTTTCAGGAAACAGGTTCAACAAGAGATTGCTACTTTAGTTGAATAGATAGGTTGTTTGGAGTCATGTTTATTTTTGTCCTTGACTGTCATATGTATTTTTGTCACAGAATGCCAAAGGGGGAGTTTGTTAGGAAAATGTGTAATTGGCAATCTGTGACTAAAGGACCTATTTGTCAAAATTGTAAAGTCAAGGACTAAATTGTACAGGTCAAATAGTTCAGGGACTAAAGTTGCATTTTAGTAAAGGTCATAGCATAGGTCTAGGGTAAAGTGGGATGCTTTGAAGATGCAAACGGCGCGTTGATGTCGCTGGAGTTTCGCCCTGACCTTGCTAGAGCCAAAATTGCAGAACTGACCTCGCTGGAGTTTCGCCAGGAC